TTGATTGGTTGGAAGAATAATTTCTGGATTTTTAGATGTTTTTGTTAGATCGGGAGGTTGTAGTCGGAGGAGGATAGTTTCGTTATGGTGTACTTCTGTTTTGTGAGATGGATTTTGATAATGGAGATAACAGTCGAAATAGTTGATTAGTGGATGTTTGAGACATCTCCGAGTATATTGATTCATTTAAACACTGATTACAATATCTTTGCTACCCCGGCAATCGCAGAAACTACTCGGAGACTTCCTCAGAAATAGAAACGTCCAAGAAACCAGCGAATCGTCATGATTTAAGCGCGCCGCGCATTCAGTTTCTCCGGTAATCTCCGAGAGGCACTAACCAGAGACGCATCGATCATCCCGACAGATCGAACGCAAGCATGCACCGGCTCGAATGAGTCATCAACGAGCCGCGGATCTTTACGCATTTATAGCTCGTAAAAGTCTCGAAAAGCCGATAAAATGGAAAATTCATAATCCACGTGCGCCATTAACACGTCGACTACCGTGTTCCGCGTTAGCCACCGGCGACCATGTCCATAGCTAATTAGATCAGCCGATTCGAATAAATTCCACTATTTATTCGACGGATCGATGCTAATGATGCTCGCGACACGGACAACAGAAGCTTGCCAGGACAAGTACACTCGGGACAAACAAAGCGCAATCCAATAATCCCCGCACTTTATTATTATAATATACAACTGGGCCGACGCTCTGATACAAGAAAAATACCGTTTCGACGGACCTCCGCATTCCTTCATTTCACTTCCCCAACAAACGCGCATAAATATTCAGTTGGCCGGTAGCCCGGCGCGGGAATTTTGAAATCGTCGGCGCGAAGCCGCGAGCCTGAGGTCTCGTGTTCGACGAAATTGGTAAAACCGCCGTCTCGCCAGGGGGAAATCGTGTTTTATTCCCGGTCGGCCGGTGATTTTTCTGCTCGCCCGCGTTCCCGGTATTGTGCGGTGTCCACGTGATCGCCGCGAGATCAGGACTGGGCACCGATGAAGCAACACCTGCCACGCGAACGTTTACCGGCCGGGAATACAGGTTGCCGTGAAAAATCGGCAATTTATCGTGGTCTCGGGCTCCCGGGTGCCCGGTTATTTATGCGCGATACGCGCGAAGTATTTAAACCGGGGAACAATCAAAGTTACCGGACGGTCGCCCGGCTGAATCGTAACGATAGAGCAGGACCCGCCGCCGTTATGGCCCGTTTCACTGGCTCCGAGGGCGATAAAACGGTTCCGGAAAAATTCGCGCGGCGGACAAACGTCGCGAGTTAATACCGAGCGCTTTACATTTCATTAAAATATTTTATGTCGCTTGTAACGCTCCCGTTGGAACGGGAGGCCGTTCGTGGGCGATGCGAGCGAACACCGCCGCCGCCGCTGCTGGGTTCGTAAGTGACCGTTTCGATCCGGGAAACTGAAAAAGAAATAATTGGTCGGCGACTTTCTACCCAGAGCTTGCGTCATCGACGACGCATCAACCGGTGCGCGAAAAAAATGGAACGTTCCGGCTGTGAATGGAAATACACCAGCGGTTTGACGAAGTGGTTAGCGCTAGGGATAAGAAGAGTTCGATTATGTGAATAAAGGACCGTCTAGAGGTTGTAGAATTCTATTACTACAATTTTAATATTCCAATTTGGGAATGAAAGCATTATTTAACGCGTTGAACGCCGCACGATTTCATAGAGGAAGATACACAGAATCGAAGAAATATAGTATTAAATCATCGAATCGAATTGCATTACTATTCCACGTTCATCTAGCTGAATGCCACTGTATTAGGTAGCATTATTTATAATATGTAATATAATATCTATACAATAAACGTGTTAATCGTCGAAGAGCGAGGATAATATCTGCCTAACGTCAATTTGTAACTTTTGCTCCTGGTATCTTTCATCCACTCTGATCTATCATCTTTCTTTGTTTCACCTAACAGTGCCATTTTTCCGATATTTCTATCAAACCAAATATTGCATCCAGAGCACAGGAATTCACGGGGAAGTCTGGTGTATTTGTCAAAGGATAGACCGAAAGGACCGCGTTTAAATGTCACGAGCGAAAAGTGCGATCCTTGATCCGCGAGTACACACCCCTTCTATTTTGCTGACATTCGCTACATGTCGGCTTGCTTCTGCAGTGTGTGTATGTGTGTATGTGTGTGCGTGTGTGTGTGTGCCTTGCTTGTACATGTGAGCGTTTATGTGGGCGTATAAGTGTGTGCATCGAACCTACCCAGCTGACGTCCGTTCATTCACTTCGCTCATCCATTCATAAAATGCAGTAGCGCGACGCGCATGCGCACGCGACCCGGCTTCTTTCTGGGTTCACTCGCAATTTTATACTTTGCAGATAACCGAAACGCTCGCCCGGCGGTCCAGGATCGTATGGCCTTTCACCATTTCTCCGTGCGACCGTTTCGAACCAACACGACCGCTCCGAGAAATGGAAAAACGCGGAATGAGACGAGACGCAACGCCTTTCATTTCGCCGCGATGACACGTACTTCCGTTGGATTTGTTCAAGCGAAAACTGTTTGTCAGGACCGATGCGAATACGGCGTTTTTAATTGATATTTAACGGCCCGCCTGTTTCGGAAAAATAATGAACACGGCGTGAGTAGCCATCTGTGGCTGGAACATGAAGCTGGTTGAAGATTGATAGCGAGGAGATTTAGATTTCGCGTAATTAGAATTAAATTGGATGCTTGCTTCGAGATGATTCTGAAATTGTTGTTGAAAGCAAGGGAGATAGAAGTTTCAGTAAATTGAATGAATGAATGATACTCTGTTGTATTGATTGGTGCTCGTTCTATAGATACCTTTGCGCCTCCACTTAAAGCTTCCTCATCGATCAGACGCCGGTACTTGGAGTTATTTTTAATGAAATATCGGTGAATGATGTGGATATGTAATATTATAAATATAATTTTAGAAATACGATTTTTTTATCATTCTTAATAAATTGTTGTTTGATTTATCGAACAGATTTCTGGTTGTCTAAAGGTTTTGTGTGCAGCTCCAATTTGTCTATTTATGATTACAAAGCCGAAGGAAAGGAATATATTCTGATATTATTAAATTTATAAATGTTGAATGGCAGAGCAGGAGGAATTGATAACGAAAACATATGCGAAATTGGTGAAGCAGCAGAGCAACGAGTAATCTTTGCCGCGTTGAACATATTGTCAAGGTGTAAAACGGCAAGAATCATCCGCTTTCGAAAATATGCCAATTTGACTGGTGGCGCCATCCGTGGCAAAACGCTCAAACTGATAGACAAATGTTACCGACGAGGGTTGACACAGGGATAGACAGTGGCGCCATCCGTGGAAAAACACACAAACTGGTAGATAAACGTTACCGATGTGGGGGTGCATGCGAATCCAGTATGGTGCCATCGGTGGCAAAATGCTAAAACTGGTAGACAACTTTTACCTACACTGACCCTTTGTCCTTTACCTGCTATAAGCCCGTGTAACTTTGAAGTCACACATCAATAGACTGGGTTAAATTGATTTATTTAATTTTTTATTGCAAAATGACGAATGACATTAAATAATTAATCAACTTGAACTTTTATACACGCAGGAGATTACGTTCAACATTGTTGTAACTTCAAAGTTACACCATATATTCGTTTTAATAAAACTATTAAAACTATTGAATATATTTTCAATTTGTGTTCACATGTTGATATTTATTAATTTCAGATTGCATAAATTTTGTTATAATCTCGAAACAAAATTCGGCCAACAGAGGGTTAGATAGGAAACAGTTGCAGCGCCATCTAACAAGCTAGTAAAGGTAACATTAATTAAGTGTGCAAATTTAATTATCTATTTGAGTCTTCTGCCACGCATGGCGCCACAGTCAATTCGCGTGAACTCCCACATAGCTAACGTTTGTTTACCAGTTTGAGTATTTTGCCACGGATGGCGCCACTATATAGCCGCGCGATCTTCCTCGTCGGGAACATTTGTCTACGAGTTTGAGCGTTTTGCCACGGATAGCGCCACCAATTGAATTGGCAGGTTTTCAGAAGCAGATTATTCTTGCCGCTTTATACGTGAAATACTATGTTGAAAGCGGCAAGAATTATTTGTGTAGCGTATTTAATCAAAATTAATGGCACAACATGAAAAAATGGTACACTATTGTGGTGTATTCGCTTATACGTCATTTCTTTGAAACCAGTAATGACTTTTTTCAAATAAAAATTCAAAATTGAACAGAAAGTGATATTGTTTTTCTGTTAGTGACAGCAAGTACTTGTCAGGTGATTTCGCGAGTAGCTTAGACGTTTTGCCGTAGATGGTGCCATTTTCGTTTTTATTTGAAAATTCACATGAAATTGTATATGATTCGAGAAATGAGAGAACGGGTCGTCTTTTAATGAACAATAACAATTAGTTAGAAATGTAATGTAATCTATTATTATTAAGATACACATTGAATCATAATTTACATGGGGTCCGTATTTTTTCTAACGATGACTCACGAGTATCCGGATAGAGGTCGTGAACGATTTAGCTGGTCAGCATTATCTGATGAAAATTTGATGCGTAAATTAAACGTTCCAGAACTTTCTGATCTAAAAACCATTTCCAGCCGCCCCAGTGGCTGTTCTCCTAATTAGGCGATGTTTACTTTACTTATTAATACGCTTAGCGCCGTTAGTTCCCGCGTGATGCAATCGTACGTTCCGACTACGAATGCATTGATTTACTAATACAGCGTTGACCATCTTTAATTTAGAACACGCGTATAAAATAAAATGTATTCAAACGTTCTCGCAGATTCACGAGACACTCGCGATTCTCCGCCGGTTATTCTAGAATAATCATCGAACAATCATGAGTCATACGATTTGCTGAACACATACAAAAATCAATACAAAGTATCATTCATAATCTCCAGAGTTTCATCATTTCGGAGTAGAAGCTTCTTGAAACTTCTACCCCAGTACAAAATAATACTGCTGGGGTTTCTAATCTCATATTCTAGAAACATTACTTTCAGTCACGTGTGTTTCAGTGTTTATTTCAGTGCGTGTGTTATTTTGAAACAGTATTTTATAAATACTTCCACTCTTCCTTATAAATAGTGCATACAAATATGTTTTATCTAAAATAGCAGGTGGAACGAACATCTAGAAAGGAATCTTTAAAAGAATAATACAATTTGCAAAGGTACGCGAAAGAAAATAATAAAGGTACCAACAACTGAGGACATGAATATTTCAATCGTAAAATATGCAATAAAATAATCGAAAGAAGGAGATTAATTCTCAATCATTAACCCCTTCCGGTAAAACGACGAGTATAGCTCGTCATTGGGTTTTCATGTCATGCCGCACAATGACGAGCTATACTCGTCATGCGACTGAAGCCACTGTTGAATGTTATAATAATTAATTTGATTCCAAATGTATAGTTTATTTAATCCGGTACTATTGGCCATTTTTGGTATTCAACAATGAATTATAAGTCTATCCAAATGAATAACATAATTTACCAATATATATGATTTATAAAATAGAATTATAATCCAATTATCGTCCAAATTAATAATATACTTTAAATTAATAATACGTATGAATTATAAAATAGAACTATAATTCAATTCTTAAACATAATTTGAATTAACAATATGTATGAATTATAAAATAGAACTATAATTCAATTATAATTCAAATTAATAATATAACTTAAATGAACAATATGTACGAACTATAAAATAGAATTATAATCCAATTATTATCCAAATTAATAATACAATTAACAATATGTACGAACTCTAAAATGAAACATGTTTTTACGAAATAAAAATTAAATGGTTATTTCATGCACAATTCTTCATGATGAAATCCTACCGGAAAAGGTTCAATTTAATTCAGAAAAACAACGGCGTACCGATACGACTGCGTGTTATTGGAAAGTATAATTTTCAGCAAACGATTCTCGAACAAACAAGACAAGATTTAGCGTGCTAATTATAACCGAGATCGCGAATGCAACGAGTTCCAGCACCTTCATACGTGTGGCTGTTCACGCGGCTCGGTCTCTCTCGTTTTCTCCGACGCTCTCGCGTCCCGTTGCGATATATTTATCCTCGTTCTCGATGTGTCTAGAAGCGGCCGGCCAATGGGAGCCGGCCGTTGGATCGCGCAGCAGAACGCGATTGGTCGGCGCTTCGAAGATTCTCGAAGCGCGAGATATGAAGTATAAAGGTGCCGGCGCGCGGCCGACGTTCAGTCTGAATTTCACAAGCAAACTACGAACACTGTGCGCAACTGGCGATAACAGTGCGACTTATCGAGACAAACGAAAACCGAACGATACGAAAGGTGAGTACACCTTGCTCTGATTTCATTTGCCTATCCAATCGACTTCCATTCTCCGAATCTAAATACGTTTCGAATTTCATTTCGCATTTTCGGGGATTTAACATTGAATTGTTTTCGTGAATTATTTGAAATCTACTTGGCAAACGTGACCCAAATATAACACTGACGCAATTTGGACATAACTGCTGTGTTTGAATTTGATTTTCGTTTGTGAATGAATACTGGTAATTTCTTTATCATACGTTGGATCATATTTTAGTGGATAATTGAATGAATTGATTTGTAATTTTATTTGATATTCTTTGGGGATTTAATAGTGAATTATTTTCGTGAATTATTTGAAATCTACTTGGCAAACGTTGACCCAAATATAACAATGACGCAATTTGGACTAGGCTCCTCTCTTTAAATTCAATTTTACTTTGTGAATGAATGTTAGTAATTTCTTTATCGTACGTTAACTTTGTTTTAGTGGATAATTGAGTATATAAATTTCCAATTTGATATTCTTTGGGGATTTAATACTGAATTATTTTCGTGAATTATGTGCAATCTACTTGGCAAACGTGACCTAAATATAACACTGACGCAATTTGGACCAGTATCTCTCTTTAAATTCGATTTTTTGTGAATGAATACTAGTAATTCTTTTATCATACGTTGACTTGTATCGTATTTTAGTGGATAATTAAGGATTACGTTTGAATTCGATTTTATCGAACGTTTTATTCAATTCGAGAGTTCCCACTGTGAAATACTATCGTCTCTGCCTCTGAGTTCGTTTTTACGTAACGAGACACCGTCGTCGCTGTGTCGGTTTCGTTGTTCCAGCATCGTAAGACGAAACGAAACGATGACGGTGCGCGACGAAGGGCAACGTTGCACGACGTATTTAGCTGTGGCCATTGAAATTCGCGGTATCACTGTGAATTAAACTGGGATGAGTTAGGAATACCTGGGAATAGTGTCTGGAGCTGTCATTTATTCCGCGATCGTATTGAATTCGTTTGGCATGCGTGCGCGGCAAGTTATTTTGGAATCGAACAACCGATTTGGGATAAGAATATCGCGGCGGGACTTGATAAAATTATCGAATAGCTAGCCAACGATTATTGCGTCGCGTCATTGAGCCCGTCACGGGGACTAAAAATAGCCGCGGCACCATCTGAAATGATTTTAACGGTGATTTTTCACCTGTTAACCGGGGAAGACGAATTTATTTGCCGTTTCCAGTAGATTTTATCTATCAGTGATCTTTCATTTCTTTTAATAATCTCTTCTTTCTTTCAATTATTTTTTATTTCAATCTTTCGATTATTTTTTTATTTATTCAATATTCTATTGTTTACATCGGATATTCTTGTACTCGAGTGCATCAGGTTCGCAATGTACAATGAATTAAAATATAATCTCATCGATCGGAATATTAATATTTAAGTGAATTTTTTAAATTTTAGTTTTGTTGATATAACTCGAGTTGATTGTTAAATTGTTGAAAAGTCGAGACGGGGTAATGTTTCTTATTTTGTGAAATGGGCTATTATTCGTAACTGGATTTTCGTGTTTCCTTTCGCAGCGATAAAGAATGGCGCCAAGAGCCCCAGCAGTCGGAATCGATTTGGGCACCACGTACTCGTGCGTGGGTGTCTTCCAGCATGGAAAAGTTGAGATCATTGCCAATGATCAAGGAAACCGGACGACACCGAGCTATGTCGCGTTCACGGATACGGAAAGGCTGATCGGCGACGCGGCCAAAAATCAGGTCGCGATGAATCCCAACAACACCATTTTCGGTGAGTATTTAAATCCATTAAAATCAATTTAAATAAATTTTAATCCATTTTTATATCTCCACTGCGAATTTTCGAATGCGACGAATAATGAAACAGTGGAATGTAAAATATATTTCAAACTCTTCCAAAAATGAAAGTAAATTGTTTGCGAATTGCATCAAAGAAATTTGCTTCTATTCGAAGATCAACGATTTAAACGTATCCCTTCGAAACTGATTATCATTCTGTGACTTAATGAATGATCGCATCCAATCAACAAGTTTGTATACACGTTTACTAGCGTATAAATAGTATACTATTTATATATAGTATACTATTATATAGAGCACGTAACTGATCTTGCACAACCGTGCGCGTCGTGCGCGTCACTGATGTGTCTGCCCTCCTTCCGCTGACAGTGGAATTGTGTAACAGCAATTTCCTCGCCAGGTGACGCAGCGTTTCAAGTTTACACCGCGTTGCTCGTCGTCAACGCAACCGTTTCATATACATGCAGAAAAGATGGCATTAACGTACCGTTCATTTGCAATCGGTGATCGGCGATTCGTACGAAAATATTGATTTTTTATGAAACTATAGTCCACTGAGAATAATTTTCTCCACTATAAACAACGACTATATGTCAATTAGAATATACTAAATGTGCCAATATTTTCTTCAGTCCTTGCTAATCTTTTACAACACACACGCAAATGTAAAGCATCAACATTAAATCGATTAAACTCGTTTATCAATCTGTACAAATTTCAATGCAATCTTACCATCAACCCTTTAATTTCGAAAATTCGCATCTAAATGGAATCTTGCAATAAAGTCTCAACATCTAAATATCTGTATGATACCCACATATATGTACATACTAAATATTTTTCATTTCGACAGACGCCAAGAGGTTGATCGGCCGCCGTTTCGACGACGCGACGGTGCAGAGCGACATGAAGCACTGGCCGTTCACCGTGGTAAACGAGGGCGGCCGTCCAAAGATCACAGTCATGTACAAAGGCGAAACGAAGAGCTTCTTCGCCGAAGAAGTGTCCTCTATGGTGCTAACGAAGATGAAGGAAACAGCAGAGGCCTACTTAGGAGTAACAGTCACGGACGCGGTGATCACGGTGCCAGCGTACTTCAACGATTCTCAAAGACAAGCGACAAAGGATGCTGGCGCGATCGCTGGATTGAACGTTTTGAGGATCATCAACGAGCCAACGGCAGCTGCGATCGCCTATGGCCTAGACAAGAAGACAGCTGGCGAGAAGAACGTATTGATCTTCGACTTGGGCGGCGGCACTTTCGACGTGTCGATCCTGACGATCGAAGAAGGTATCTTCGAGGTGAAGTCAACTGCTGGCGACACTCACTTGGGAGGCGAGGACTTCGACAACCGAATGGTGAACCACTTCGTCCAGGAGTTCAAGAGGAAATACAAAAAGGATTTAAGCGTTAACAAGAGAGCTTTAAGGAGACTGAGGACAGCCTGCGAGAGGGCCAAGAGGACGCTCAGCTCTTCCACGCAGGCTAGCATCGAAATCGATTCCCTGTTCGAAGGAGTTGACTTCTACACATCGATCACCAGGGCCAGGTTCGAGGAACTCTGCGCTGATCTCTTCAGGAGCACGCTGGAACCCGTAGAGAAGGCTCTGAGGGATGCTAAAATGGATAAAGGCCAAGTCCACAGTATTGTCCTAGTCGGTGGCTCCACCAGGATACCAAAGATCCAGAAGCTGCTCCAAGATTTCTTCAACGGAAAGGAACTGAACAAGTCTATCAACCCTGACGAGGCTGTCGCTTACGGAGCCGCTGTTCAGGCTGCCATCCTCCATGGAGACAAGTCTGAACAGGTGCAGGATTTGCTGCTGTTGGATGTCACGCCTTTGTCATTGGGTATTGAAACCGCTGGAGGAGTGATGACCACTTTGATCAAGAGGAACACTACGATACCAACCAAGCAGACCCAGACGTTCACCACGTATTCCGATAATCAGCCTGGTGTGCTGATTCAAGTCTACGAGGGTGAACGAGCGATGACTAAAGATAATAATATTCTTGGCAAGTTCGAGCTGACTGGAATACCTCCTGCGCCTAGGGGCGTGCCTCAGATCGAGGTTACTTTCGACATTGACGCTAATGGTAGGTGCTACTTTCAAGAATTTGTTACTCTTGCTTTCAAATTGCACTCTGACACTTTCAACTCACGATTTGTATCATGGGAAACCTTGGATTTCGACTAAATTTCCTTTGACATCTCGTTACATATATTAACTTCTCATTCCTCTTAATTATATTGTCACTATACAATAATCCCTTACAGCCTCATCAAACTCGGTATTCAAAGTCGAAAAAATACAATTCCTCCAATACAGTAACTTCAAACAAGTCCAAGAGCAATAGATTCCAGTTCTACGTGCAAACCACTAACATATATTCGTAACTTCTCCAGGTATCCTGAACGTGTCAGCAGTCGAGAAGTCCACCGGAAAGGAGAACAAGATCACCATCACAAACGACAAGGGCAGACTGTCGAAGGAGGACATCGAGAGGATGGTGAACGAGGCGGAGAGGTACCGAAGCGAGGACGAAATGCAGCGTGACAGAATCGCCGCGAAGAACGCTCTTGAATCTTATTGCTTCAACATGAAGAGCACGATGGAGGACGAGAAGATCAAGGACAAGGTCGACGAGTCCGACAAACAGAAGGTCCTCAACAAGTGCAACGAGGTGATCGCCTGGATGGACGCGAATCAATTGGCGGAGAAGGAAGAGTTCACTGACAAGCAGAAGGAGCTGGAATCGGTCTGCAATCCGATAGTGACGAAACTGTACCAGGCCGGAGGCGGCGCACCTGGCGGATTCCCTGGCGCGCCTGGCGGTGCACCTGGAGGCGGTGCGCCCACCGGTGGCTCCGGCGGGCCGACAATCGAAGAAGTAGATTAAAGGCAGCGAATTCATTCGTCGAAAGCACTGACTCATTGTTCCTCATTTCATACTCCATTGTATTTAATTCATGTAGCCGCCATACCTTCATTTCGATCATGTATTTGTACCTTGGATTCTTGTGAAAGAATTTAGAGACTTTATTTTTCTGCTGGACAGTATTGCAATAAAGTTTCTTAATTTGTTATAAATTCACTGTGTGCTTCTTTTGGGATATCCTTCCTGTATACCCGAGAAACGTGGTTTATTGAATGTTAGCGATCGCAGATGCTTTTTTTGTTATTATTGGTGTTAGAGGAATATTGTACAAGAGTTCCGAGTAGGTTTCTGGTATCGAGTTAGGGTATTCTTGGGATTTATGGTGCATGAAACAGGTAATCGCACGCTTTTAAAGTTCGATAAATTTAGATTTTGAAGCTTGGATCAAGGCTTGGATATTTTGAAGCTTAAATGTTATTAAAGCAGAGATTAAATTTCACTTTGCGGTTGCGTAACTCTTGCGCGAGGACATCAGAAACCGTCAGGCTTGTAGAACTGCACGAGAATGATTAAGTATGTCGTGATCACGCTGACAAACTGAAAAACAGTGAATAATTACATTAATGGAATCGATAATTCGAATTTCACTTGGAATTCTTACTTACCCTTGTTAGCAAAGAATTGTCCATTTCGAAGAAATCGCAAGCAGTGAACTTGACACGAAGCTGTTGCAGCTGCAACGATAAATCGTTCGCCTCGTTCCGAACGCAGTCACGTTCGAAGTTTGCACGTAAGAGACTGTCCATTCCGAAATTATTTAAATTCATGTTCGATTGTTCATCATAAATGTTAGTCCGTTCATCGTTACAGAAGTCTCTAAAAGAAGCTAATTTATTGAATTTCGTTGAATGCTGTGCATTCAGTACGAAGTCCCCTATCAGCGGTCCAATTTGATTTATCTCTCGATGAGTTAGGGTGCACACCCAGCACATTAGGACGAATTGGCCGCCGTAGATCATCCAAATTAAGTTGTTCAAGAATATGAACCCGTTTTTTCGTTCTGCTGCGCTCATGTATATCCTGAACAACTTGGCGACCACCATTATGAACGCGTTCGTGGAGCATAATAATAAATCCATCCCGAAAATCTCGTTCACCGTTGTTATTACCGAATAAGCCTCTGGAAGAAAGAAACAGAGCTAGGAAAAGTTTCCTTCTATATAATTATTGAAAGGATGTAAATATCTATATAAGAAATTATACGTTGATTTAACAATATGTATACTGAAATATAATTCATATAGTACAAATTAATTTCTATAAGGAAATACGAACGAGATAATTTAATTTCTGACATGTTCTAACAGTATTGCATTTATAATATATTATTATATCATCAGATAATCATATTTTCATATTATCATGGTATCATGGTATCATGGTATCATGGTATATAATTATCATATTCCAAAATTCACTCACCACTATGCAGTTTCCTAATCCTCCTAATTTTCAAAGCGATCCAATAATTCCCCAATCTCTCATCCAACCCCTTGATCGCATGATTAATCGCTCTGAACCGCACACAGATCATGTAAACCACAATATCAAACACAAAACTGTTCACCAAGGTCTGCGGAATTGTGTAATAAAGAAGCAAATCAGAAGCATAGATCTGTTCAGGATCAGTAAAATAATAATAAAGAACGTGACCAGCCAGTGAAATAGGTCCACACACACAGATAGTCAATATAGCCAGGATCTGTCTGATCCTGACACCTTTGTCATCGATCAACAGCTCTTTGCTAATGTGTTCATCCAACGATTTCATTGTCCTCATCAATTCTGGCCATTTGTCGTAGTGTTGGGCTATATGGCAGACGTAATAATACGCCGCAACGTGGCAAATGGTTTCGTTCATGTAGTACATGATCTCGAACAGTTTGCTGGTGAACTGTTGGCCGAAATTCGTGAAATCCATCACGCTGAATGCGACGATCACCGAGCAGATCCCCAAATGGATCATTCGAAGTATCACGGTGACCAGTTTCGGACACTTCTTAGGCCACGCGACGCCCACGCCGAGGAACCAGGACACGTATGTTATCGGACACAGTGTACATTCTGGTTCTGAGGTATTCCCTTCTACCTGCACTGTTATTTCTTCCTCCATAATTGAGAATATTAGATTAAATATTGACCAAAACGAAAGACTACCAGTTCAGATTTTCAGGAAAGTTAGTGTTGTCTGCGAGGGAACTCAGAACAGTCTGCCGAGGAATCGGTAGTCTGTACTGGCTGTTGGTGGATTTAGATTAGAACGATAAGCGGGATCATACAAAATTCAGGGAAATTCGGCGGATTTATGGGACGGAGGTTCCTTTGGCTAGATTCGGCATGGATAGACACGGAAAGGGACTTTCTGCTCGTCAACTCTTCTGGAATCAGCCATTTAGAAACATACGATGAAATACATATTTTTCACTGAAGAAAGTTTCATAGAAAATTTATAGAAAGTACCTGGTCGTTAAGAAAGAATTACTGTTCAGACATCAACTGATAGTAGACGATAAATCGGGGACCAACGATGAAAGTTTGATCCCAAAAGGATTGACGACATCCTCGGATCGCAAGATTCACGGGTGTAATTATCGAAAAACGAGCTTTATTTGCCCAACGACTATATTACAATGTTATCATACAGTAAACATTTAAAATTGGGATAAAACGATAACGCTGAACATCGACCATTTCTTTTGTTTCTTTTATAATTCTTGCGTGTCATCTTGCGTTTGAGTTTGTCCTCGGTGTTTCGTGTACCTCTTTGTTCGCAGTTCTCCTTTTTTTGTTCTTTTTGTTTTAGAAATCTGGCGGCGTGGCGGGTCGAGTCGAATAGTTCGGGAGAATATTTAATTGTGGGCTGTGACGATAGAATTCTTCGTTTTATATTTGCTCGTTCGGACCGGCGCGGCCGCGATCGATCGGTCCCCGAGCGAAAGACGATCGAACCGCGGAACGGAACGCGTCGAATCTCTCGAGACGTTCTCTTCTACTATTTTTATTCTTTTTTTTGTCGTTTTCTTTTATGGTTTTTAACGTTTCTTTCTACTGTCGTCTCGTCCGTGCGCTTCTTCACTTTTGTTTGTGTATTTAATCGGGAAAGGCAGCGTAATTATTCGAACACCGGACGCCGGCACGCGTTTCCATCGACCCCCAAGACAGGAATGTTTCCTTTCACGACGCTCGTGAAACGTGGACACAGCCTGTCGCGCGTGGCCGCTTCTTACGTATTTTACACGCGTATATTGTATATAACATATATGTATAATTTCATCTGTTAACGATTCATTATCACTACGATTCGCCGGGCGACCCGAGAGACTCGCGGGGCTGAAATTAAATGGCCGCCGTTACGTGACCCGGCCTCGTAAAGCTTCGAAATCCTCGCGTCAGTACTCTGTTCACGAGCAAAATATTTCATTTGGTAATTTGGATAATGAGTTCTTGAACATTCGACAAACAATTCTGTGACACGAAGGGACACAAAGAAACCGATATTATAATTTACGAAGGTAACAATGAACACAATAAAGAGGCAGTTAGTCTTTCTCGAGAATGCCATTAATATCTTGCGAATGATCTATTAACCCTTTACAGGAGGAAGATGACTCTCGCCATTTGACTCGATATAGAAGAATTATTAAGTCTTATATATAATAAGCTTTATACAATGCGTCAACATGTGGAATATTGAAATAAAATAGCTTTGGTTTTTAATTTACGCGTGTTTTCACATTAGTTAGAATGTCGTCTATATCTCATCGGAAAATGTTGAATATTTTTGTAGAACTTCCGAGTGCAAAGGGCTAACGAGGTTTCCTTCGAATCTGATGAATGGCTATATTGTAAAGGAAAACTAAGAAACGGTAAATTTTGTCATTTATAAGGGCAGTAATGAACGTAATAGGCAGTTGTTTTCATTTGTGAATGTCCTTGATATTTGTACGTGAGACAAATCAATGGAGAAATGAACGAAACGAAGTGGAAACGCGATTTGATTCTCGCACGATCCTCGGGACGCCCATTGCCCGCCGCCATTTTGTTCGCGGCGCGTCGTTGCAGCCGCACAGTATTCTGACTCCGTCCGTCTCGTTTTGGTTTTTTAATAGTTTACCTAAGATTAGAGGTATGTTTAGCCTCGACCCACTCGAGAATGCCCTGCCAATTGCTTTTCTGTCGCGGCGAGTCCCGTGTCGAGCGAACGAAACGATTGAACGCGTCGGTATCATCGCGTCAGACGGAATGTGTATCGATACAGGTGCGCATTCTTCTTTAATACATGCCACAACGATGTTCGGATCAATCCTTTTCCCCACCGCATCCTCTTTATTTTTCTATTTTAATGCCACTGTGCATCACGATTCTCCATACTCCTTCGCGATCGTTTGAATCGTTAGAATCATCTTCATTTTATATAGGCGCTTCAACGAATTATTCTCTCCCTTCGTTATTCCTCCTGCTGGATCGATTTGTGCTCTTCGATTCGATCGTTTCAATCTGTTGCTGATATGTGAGATTAAATTGTTCTGTCGAATAGTTGCGTAGGAAATAAGGAATTGTAGAAAGTCGCGACTTAAAATTATATTCGTCGAAGGTCGATCATTGTGCCATCGAGCTGATGAATCTACTGAAAATACAACCCAACCTCCACTTGCAAACGATTACTGTCCGCCGAAAGGAAAATCGATATTTCTTTGATATGTAAGTAAACGGTAAACGGAGTTTAACTTGTAAATCGGTACAGCCTGACATCGATTCCCTTCGAGAACTCTAATCTTGAATCAACGGCTCGCGCAGGTTTCAAAAATTCAAGCTGTACGAAATCATCCTTAGGATATCCTTCGATCTTCGATCCTTGCCCGTAAAGCGAAGATTATTGTCGCTAAAAAATGAACGATTCCGACTACGTGAAACACTTTGTCTTCGAATGTTACAATAAATTCTCTTATATCGACTCGCGAACGATATATAATGAACTAAACGATTTAAACAGGATCATTACGGTCTGAATTGAGTTCACCAGGCAAGGAAGTTCCGAAAAATCCAATGCGATTGAACGTTTAAATTATTCTTCGAATATCGTCCCCTGTCTTCCGGTGTTACTGGCCAAATGTCGCGCGTTTCACAATCGAACGATCGCACGATCTCCGATCGCATCGACCCAACATTCTCGTTTCCGATTTAAGTGCAGCCGGTGTTATTGAAAAATATATCTTTTAGAATAAACAATTCTAGGCCGTCGCGCTTGGCTCGAACAAACAGCTTTAACGATCCTTCTCGCGGTTCCCTCAATCATCGTTAGCGCTTCGTCGTCGTCCTTTCTTTCGGAGGACTTCGGGCGAGGATATTACGCTCGGTCTTTTAGAATTGTATTTTTCCGCCGTGTTCCCGCCCCTGGGTCACATTTTCGGTCGATCAATCGCGACTACACTTGGAAAATGTCGCCGGTGGCGCGCGGCGCGATGTTCGTCTCGAAAATGGAGCTCGTCGGCGTGGTGGCCGCCGCCATTTCGACGAACCTGCCCGCGTTTACGTTGCCCGTAATGGCGGTCGTCATCGTCTTCACCGGTGTTTCTTCGGTGATGTCTGATGTCGTTGGAACCTGCTGATTTAACAGTAACAATGTTAACGGTATACTTATTGCACACGCCTACCGCCAATCATAATTTCCGTGCAAACATTGAACGACAATAAAAGAACATAGAAATAACGTTGAACATTTACAGCTTCTCAAGATCTCGAGGAAAGAGCAAAGCAGAAATTTCAGTAATCTTTTCATTTCTCGTTTTTCTAAACCTCTCGAAGCCATTAAGGCCAGAACGATCCCGTTTTCGCCGAATCTCCGAATTCCCGATCATCGGCTATACAAATCTAAATTTGTAAAAACGTCCGAAGTCCGCTGGTGAACAACTGAATACTAGAACAAAATCAAACAGCAATTAGAAAGTGGAACAAAATTCAAATGAATATAATGGAAAGAAATAAAATCAGGCGGGGTGCAAGGATAGTTTTCAGTAACAAAGAGTTGTAACAAGTCTCTGATAATACGATTAAATCTAATTTTTATGAAGAATATTCGTGATGAGCAAAGTCTATTGAGTTTAGAAATGATCCTCTGACGACGATTTACAAATGTAAGATGACCGTTAATCCGGAGGATACCTCGTTATAGAAGACCTCTTTCCCTTCCTCGACAGAGGGCAAAAGCTCGTCGGTTGAGTGGGGCGTCCTAGGGCTGGGGGTGGGTGCGACTTGATTTTGCTGTTGTTGCTTTTCCTGCTCCCTCTGCTTGGCTAATCGGAGCTCTTGAAGCGCCTGCCGTTGCTCCTTCTCGTTCCTCTCCTTCTCCAAACGCCGGGCGCTGTAGCTACGCGCCGACGACGTTGAACTGTGAACCGAGGTTAAGCTAGGACGACGAGAACCTATTAGAAACAAGGACGAGAAGTTCAGTTCGAGCTTGTAGACCTGCCATACCTATACTTTCTCGCTGTTCTAAACTCGCGAGAGCCAATTTGCTAAGTCGATACCGTAAACGAGTTGAAAGTCTAGCTGGTTCCGATCGACTATTGCACCGTCCCGTTTTCTATGTGATTGATTTCGCCTACGATCTATCAACGATAATCCGTCGTTCTAAGTCGTTAATGATAATGCAAGCTCAATGATCGTTACGAGATATGCTCTCAACTTATACATTCTTAATTCCCTGAAGATGGACATATATTCGTAGCAAGCGCGAGTCGATCGAGTGTTATTCAACGTTGAATTTAAACTATGAAAGCTTCAAGGAGAATAATCGGATAATTAACGCGAACGAAATTGGACCAAAGATGACGTCCAATTAGGAGAACAGGTTTATCTGCACGTCAATCGTCGTAAATTCCATCGAATTATAATTGGAGACGGAGATTTACTTTTCAATTTCGATTCCCATTCGTCGGGAACGCGTAATCAGATCCCGTTGCACCCAACGCCGTCTCAATCCACTCCCGTTAATTAAACAACTGGCTCGTGTGTCAAAGGACATTGAGTCGATTCGAGACTCCACCGATGTGAATAGAGATCGCTGTTAACGATCTCGCGAGATCGGGGGATCTCGCGGTCCAAGCACAGGGAACACAGGGCTCGTGTGAGATTAATCCATCGAGAATGATCTTTATGCGTCCGTGCGACTTGTTTCTTGTGTGAGGGGGGCATGTGGTGATTCAGAGTGAACGTCTATCACAGGTGTAACGCCGTAACCGCGTTCGACCAACGGGGAGAAGCATTCTCCGCGAAGCGCATACGAAAAAGCGGATGCAGCGGATCTCGGTCGGGTCCGTTCAAGAGAGCTCCCCTTCGCTGTCCGTTCACGCGTTGACTGCCGAACTAATATTCCTTGGAATCTCAGGCAATCGAAGATAATCGTTCGCTCGATTATTGAGCTTCTATAAATCTTTCGGAAATAAACTCTGGCAAGCAAGTGAAAAAGCGAATCGAGTAAATATTAATTCTAATAGAATCGCGTGAAGTAAAAAATTGAATCTCTAAGATTTCCTATGTTAGTGGGCAATTTTATAGAATCAATACAGTAAAGTATACAATAAATGTGATCGATTGTTAAAGATTAAACATTCTTAAGATACAGGAAAGTTGAAATTATTGTGAAAAACTTTCTTTTATAAAACACATAATGTACATTTCAAGTTTTTCACGATCATTTCAACTTTCTTGCTTTTTGAGAATAATTAACTTCTAACAGTAGATTTCGGGACATGTATTGCACACTTTACTTATTGATCCTAGGAAAGTGCTAACCCGCATAGATCTCGAAAATAGAAGTTCCAATAAATTTAATACATTTTACTAATTGTAAATGATATTTATGAAATGTAATATCCCTAAAATCGACGGGTTCTGTAAATCCAGCGTCAAGTTTGTAGAGAAGTTTGTGTTACTCGTATCCGAGTCGTGTGGCAGTGAACGTGTCCATCAATTCCAGGACCGCTGATGCTCCTCTCCCCAGGTTTAAGTGTGGGCCTTGATATTATTTTCGAATCGAGAGATTCCTTAATGTCAAGAGTGAGAACGTCACACGTGGCGACGAAGGAACGCAGGTTTCCTGGGGAGCGGCCGCCTTTCGAGCGTTCCCAATTCAGGGGACCTCGTTACCAGTCCTTATTGATTAACGGCGCGCGCGAAGGGCGACAGAGAAAATGCGGGCTAGACAGAGAAAGAGTGGCGTGTTTGTGCATCCTGTTGCATATAGACCGTCTATAGGTTGGCTCTCGTTTAATTGCTCGCTCAAGGCTGACGGACTCTGCTGAATTGCCCAAGGACGTTCGCCCGTTCGTTTCGCTCGAACGTCTTGTCATTTTCGGGTCCTCCCTTATTAACCCTTTACGGTCCTGTGTCGAGAACTAAGAGATTCGACGTTTCATTTTATTTCAATGGTTAAGTATTGTATTAATCTACACTACAATTATTCATAGTGTCAATTATATGATTTATTATTGCAATTAAAATTGAAGTAAAAGTATTAAAATGCTTCTCGAGTGTTCTTAGATAAATGATTAAACTGTAATTTAAACTATAATTAAACTAACACTAGAGATTTATTGTACACTTTATTTTATTGTTTCTAGAAAAATAGGTGATCACTTGTATAGATAAACTTTTACCAAAATGATATTTCCAAAATTTAGTATTAATCAATTTGAAAATTATTTATTATATTATATTCATTTGAAAATGTTCTATTTTAATATTAAAACAGTTCCCTAAATGTAGTGTCGCGGAACGTTGATACAACTTCTATAATGAAAAACCAATTGTACCGCAAAGGGCTAAAGGAGACAACGAGTAGCAGCAGTGACAATAGCCTGGAACGTTCAATTATTTCTGGCACGGCTGTACAGAGAAAAGCTACCGGTGTATACCACATTTTCGATTGTTAGCAAGCACATCCAGCCGAGAAGTCCGCGGGAGTCCTTGTTTTTAATTGTCAATGTGTCAAGCAGACGGTCTTTCGCGAAGCGGAAAGCGTAAGTAGTTTTTCGAAGCGGATTGGACGCACGCATGGTTGCTGGATGCTAGGAAAATGGATTTCTGCATTTTCCTAGTACCCTGAGGGCTTTTAATCTCTTCGGTGGCCATATTTGCCGGGTGACGATTGCCGGTACGTGCAATAATAAATAGCAATTTATAATAAATTGTAAATCTATTGAAATCATTCTAATGTATTCTAATGAAATTAAATTGAATGAAATTGAATAAAATATAATTGAACTAAATCGAATCCAATATAACTGAATTAAATTAAATGATATAATATAGAAGGACTTCGATTAATTGAGTTACCATTTTCAACGGTCTCGAATATTCTTAATTATCGACGAGCTCGATAATCAGATTTTTTAGAATGTACAATGAATATTCACTGAAACAAGTACTCGGCAATAATGATATAATAAAAGGTAGTAAATCAGAATCAATGATAAATAATGATTAATTAATCAGGAACAGAAAATAATTTCCATCCGAGTTTTCATTTATTCGGTCCGTTAATCGCCCAATTAAATTATATAACCGAGGTTCCGAAGTGCATACGAAATAGAATATACGCGACGCGTGTCGCGAAGTTTCTAATTGACGCTGGCACCGGAGAGATTAAAGGATTCGGGGGTCCTGATCCCACAGTTCGCGGAGAACAGAGAGAAGCGAGACTCGCGAGGCCGTTCCCCAATTAGTAAATAAGCGTCGAAAATTCTCCCTCGTCGAATTTATTTATTTTTCCTCATTTTCCCGTAGTTTTCGTTTGAATGCGACGTTGAAAAAGCACGGAGAAGAAACAAAAAAATAAATGGCAGGCGAGAAACCACCCCCGGCCGAGCTTAATTGGAAGATTCGCCGTGGGAACCGTCGGGTGTTCATTAAAAAAGGAAACAGAGTGAAAAAATAGAACGGGCGGGAAATAAAGATGAGAAAAAGAGAGGAGAAAGAAGAAGAGTTTGAAAATGGAGAAAGAAAAAAAGACGAAGAAAAGAGAAAGAGAGAGAGAGAGAGAGAAAGAGAGGAACTCGAGGACCCTCGCATGCGATCCGACACTGTGATTATGCGTGCGTGTGCGGCGAGCTAGCTAGTGCGTAAAGATTTCGTGTCTCTCTACGTCTTACCAGAGAACAGTTCGTTCGTTAACGAGCAACGAAATCGGCCGCTGCCATCTTGCTATCTCGTAACACACTCGTGCAGCGCTTTATTATTTTGGACAGTACAATTAGAATCGTTTCGGTCGTGGTGTGTGAGCTCTTCCGTGTATCTTTGTGTGCGCATGTTCCATTGTGTACGTGTACAGACTTAGGTATATACTTAGGTACATACGTGGTGTCATATTGTTTTCAACGCGATCGTTCTATCATCATTTTCTCGATCGATATCTCGAGCGATTGTATTCGTGTAGCACAGTCAACATTTAAACAGAAGTTTCCTTCCTCCTTTTCGCGTTAGAACGGTTGCTCGAAATGCCCGGCAGCCGTTAAACGGCTGCAGCGAAGTGAGAATGTCGAGCTGAGTGGAAGAAAACAACATTCTAATTCTGGGCAAACAACAGAGAAGGAGGGCCGGGTTCATTGTGTCGGGGAACGTGAACGAATTCCGAGCGCTTCCTCGTTTCTTTCGTTCCCTTTCGATGGGACCATCGTCTTCTGTATTAAGCTACGAAACTTTAGACGAATTTATGAAGAATTCAAGGAAAAATGAATCTAGTGAAATTTTATTCGGTGTCTCCGGCTGATCGATATCAGGTCTATCGGAAAGTCCGTTTTGTAATTCGAAGGAAATAGTATATTCTCAATATACGTTTATTAATATTTACTATATAATATGATTTCTATCGTTATAAATGACTTCTTACTGACATGACGGTGATTTGTGGATTTCGTTTCTGTAGAATGACTCATTTTTGGAAACTTGTGATCACATTATCGCAGAGAACTGTCCGGTAGACTTAATATATCGAAGTTTTTTTATATTTAATTTTTGTTTGCATTTTACAAATTGACGATGTGTTTCGCACGAATGTAGAAAGATTCGTAGCGTGTTAATAATTGCATCGAGAATCGATTTGAACGAAAGTCAACCAGGAAACGCAGTCGGGAGGGGTAAACGCTAAATATAACCAGTCACAACAACTACGACACAACAGCGACAACGGCACGGTACGACTCGAAGCACCACCATCATCTTCTTCTTCTTCGTCGTCGGTCTCGCCTCCTTACCGTGCGACTCGCATAAGATAAGAAACCAGGGGAATAACAAATGGAACCAATTGATAGAATTCATTTCAGTGAATGGATAATGGGAGTCGAGTGGTACTACTCCGTGGTTCGAGGCAACAGGAGGCTAACGAGGACCGTGCTTAACTTGTTAATCGGACGATCTTCCAGTCACGAGCAGCGTTCAATAAATGTAATCCGATCGATTGGCACTAGAGATGTTGGGAATTTTAGTGAAAAATAAGTGCAATTAAAATCGAGAGCATTCTGCAATCCTTTTCACGCAGAGACTAACACTTTGATCAGTTGGATCCTACAAACTTAATTTAAATGCGAACAAGAGTCATCGTACATTTAAATTTCGTCAAATTCTGTGGGTACACTGATATTGGAACTACTGAGTAATTGGCATAACTGTTTCACACTTTATTACACAAATTGCAAGAGTATGTTTATTGAAATCTGGATTCACCTGTATTTTAGATTATATTACTAAATCAACTTACTTGATCATTCCACAAATCGTAAGACTAGCGGTCTATCTTTCTAATAATCGTAAGAAGAGTACCTACTTTAAACAAAAATTAATTATCCGGTAATTCTAATGTTAACCTTCTCATTGGACCCAACAGTAAATTTCTATTAGCTTCATAATCAATAATTTACCTACTGCAAATGAACAATTTTAATAATAATCTTCAATGATCTTCCCGTTGCGTCGAGCGCAAGATTTCAGTGCCGCTCTAAGGCAGATGAAGTCAGAAGGGAGGCTGAAGAGCGAAGAACGAATCATTCGAAGGAGAAGAAGAGGAGGAATCATAAACGGACACAGGTGGCGGTGTTTCAGTGTGAACGGTGTTTCCTGTGTGTCCGTGTCAATTGTGTTCGATGTGTTTCTCTGTACGTGTACTGTACACACTGTGACAGATGCGGGCAGATAGAAGAGAAGACAGACAACGAAAGAGTTAGAAATTGATCGTTGATCGTCTACCGAGGCCGTCGGACGATCCCTCAGCAACGTCGCTAAGGGTACGTCGATGCTTGTTCCCGCCTTCGGTCGCCTGCAGGTGATACGATATAAGCAAGATGGCGGCGGCTCGTGCCGCACCTGTTCTCGACACTGGCACCGGGGGACCACGGCTGCCGCCGCTGCTGGGTCGTCTGGTGAACGCGTAGGTCAACGGTCCTCCTGTGCTGCTCCTTTGGCTGGATCGAGAGGACGGTCGGCCGGTGTGAAGCGTCAATGGTATACCTGTTGGATTTTAGTTTCTCCTTTTATATCGATCTTCTTTATTCTATTAGGTCATCGCGTAAGTAACGTCGTTTCTTATCTTACTTTGTAGGATATTCTTTGACACTTTGATTGCTGTGTCAGCTGAATTCGGGCATCTTTTACGTCAACTTAGAAATTAATTTTCTTGGTGACGAGCGAACTGAATTTTTTTGGATGTGCTAAATATAGAAAGGACAGTGTAGCGATCGTTATGAACGGTTTTGACTTTTTAGTTTCCGTTTTGTTAAGAAGATTGTTTCGATTGTATGGGAGTTTTGTGAGTGTTTATTTGGCAGTGAACGTGTTACATTGAGAAATTAATCGAAAAATGGGGGAAGGTTGTATATAACGATGGTCAATACGTCGATGGTTAAAAAGGTATATTAATTTGTTATACCAGAAGTTGGTGTTAGAAAACATTACTTATGGGATGACCTTGTATTTAAAATTGTTCTTCGTTTCATTAGAATTTAAATAACCACTCATTAGGGTCTTAAAGATTTTAATCTCCGTAACTACTAAATGATGATGCTGCGTTATATGATAGATTGCAGATACACTTGTAAAGTTTACTGGTTTTTAGAAACGAATAAATGAGGTTACGCGTCCCTGTAGTAGATAATATTCAGTGAATGTTCCATAGAAGACATAATTAATATCTTAGTGCAACATTTATTTCCGTGAATGCTAGCGACATAGTTTAATTCACTGAGAAACTCGTTAAGCAGAGCTCGAGGTATTTCGAATTTAATTGTCATCGACATGAAAGGTTAATTCCCAGCAATTTCTAATATACTAGCCTGAAAGTTTCCTCGAAATAGGACGAAGCGAAGATTGGAGTGCTCCTCGATACTTAGAGTTATTGATTCCGCGGCGGGGAGAGCGTCATAATGGAATATAGAACGGTTTCGCTGCAGGTAGCGCGACTAGACACGGATTACTGGTATCGTTGGGCCTGGAGATCAGGCTGACATGATTAGACTGCGGATGTGTATGAAAATATTCACGTTTCTCGAACTACGAGTAATGGAAACTGGGATTTTTACGTCAACCAATGTGTCTCGCTAGTAATGTAATCGATCACGAAGCGCATTAACTCTCCGACAGCTAGATTTTCCTTATTTATGTAATAACCAACTCTAAAACGTTTTAAAACTTTCAACCTTAATTTAAAATTCACCTTGTTACACGACTGAGCAATTTTTACAAGCAGCATTATTCTATCATCAGAAGAATGAAGGAAAACAAATAATCCTGTAGTACTGACACACGAAACTTTTAACACAAAACGTTCTATCAGATCGAACATGAACGTGTACGACAGTGAAACGTGACCCAGAATCAACTCCATTACTCACAGATTAAGTCCACGTTCAAGTTGATCAAAATTTGTGCACTTTACTGTGATCGATAAAACTCGTTATAAATAAATTCATAAAGATTCGCAAACCGTGCACGACTGTTTCATTAAACAAGTCTTTCTTAATACAAGAACTACCAAGTACTTGAACTGACTTAAAATTTCTTTGTAAGTGCTACAAGTCTGTAGTCATTAAGATTTCAATTGACTTATATATCGATTTAGGTATTACTAAATCAGTTTCCTTAATAATTTCTATTTCTTAATAATTTCAAAGAAGTATCTGTACGTTTTCAGTGATTACAAAAGAAGAAATCAGGAACGGATTATTTTGAACCATCTCGTAGTTCTAGTGTTAAGAGGGGACATTACCTACACGAATAAAAAGAATTAATCTGTTCCTTTCTTAATTTTTCCGTAACATCAAGTATATAGAACAATTAGTAAAAGGATCGTTCCAAATTCAAACCATCCAACGGAGTTATAGCAATGTATACGGATTAAAGAACGGTCGAAAAAAATCACATGAAAATTAAAGGAAAATGTGGGAACTACTAACAAAAAATCAAAGAAACTAACTACAAATAGTTTTAAATGGTGTCTGCCCTGAAATCAGGACAATCAACTGCGTTTTTCCAGCATTTTCTAATTTTCTAATTTCGTTGAGTGTTATCCTAGTCCCGGTACCGCGGAGTTGATCACTTGGCCAAATGAACGGCTCGAGTTTCGATCGTGTTCGAGATATCGACCGGCAATGAAGATTCGGCCGCTGGCTGTTGCGCGAGAGTGGTACTCACCCGTGTCGCTGGAGAACAGCATGGGCGGCGCGTGGTTCGCGTTGGCGTAGTGCCGCGGTCTTGAGTATCTCGCGCGGCTGAACAACTTGAGCACGAAGCATATCATCGCCGTGAATATAGCGATTCCCGATGCTATGCAGAGCAGGGTCGGAATATCCGTAGTTATCAGCACCAGATCTGCCAACAGACGCGAACGCTTCGGCTTCACAAACACTTTCGCGCGGAATTGAAAGGTCGCCCCGCGAGCCGCCGCCGCCGCCGCGGCGGGGAATACTTTGTGGACTAGTTTCGTGTGGAGTTGTCGAAACTTTTCTTTGAAGGCGGCCTATACGTGTCAGGTGGATCTATAATGGCGCACCCGGCGCGCTGTGTTACTTTTGCATGCAGTGCTCGAAGAATGAGATAATGTTCGTCGTCGATTTACAATCATTTCATTTTCTGCTCGCAGCGACGCGGCGTGAAAGAATTATGGGCATTGTGAGTTTCTAGGGTATACGAGAGGATTAATTCATCTGGGATTAACGCGAGGAGTAATTATTTCTCTTTGAGAGCTGTGCGATATTATTGTTGCTCGACGCTGGTTAGTGTGTCGAATACATGTTATTGATAGAGAGAATATTTGATCATTGATTTGTCGTATTTTAATAGAAATAACGAAAGTGAGTGTTTGAGCTTTTGTGTACTCGGCACGTGCATCCTGATATGAATGACGAGGAATTTCATAAAATAATAGGCTAAAGACTACTGGATTTTTCATATTTTCTTCAGAATTATAAGTTATATAATCCGTTATTTTTAAACTGTTTCAATATTCATTTAATTTATTGACTTATTATTTAAAAAAATAGTACGGACGTATTAGTTTAGACAGATTGACACAAAAATAAGCAGGCACTTGCAAATATTGGTACTAATGTAATTTTTGCAATAATGGTAAAGAAAACGTGATAGGAAGTATGTTTAAATATTGACAATGTTCAAGAGAGGTTGATAATTAGCTAGTGCATTGTACCTTCGGCGCAGAACACCTTCTTGTTAGGCCTGGACAGGGAGACCCTATGGTAGCCCTCCTCGCAGTCGCACACAGCATTGTGCTGCACTTGAGTGCAGGTCGAGTGCTGATCCGCAAAAGTGCAAGTCGCGCGATAGAAGCACTGCTCCCCGAGTCTTTTGGCTGGAAAAACCGGTTCGCCGTTCGATTACTTGACCTATACTACTTCTCGATAGCGTCTGACCGAGTCCTCGACTCCTTTACTAATAACACAAATCTTGGACAATACTGTTTACAACAGTTTGTAGCTCCGACACTTGGGACAGGAGTATCAAACTGTGAAAAGCGAAATGGCAGACTATAAACTCTTTTATTACCCTTGCTTCGCGTTTTAAGAGGATGTTTAAAGAGGCAGGTCTCATTTTAATTGACTTCGATATTTCGAGAATTTTTAAGCTATTCTTATTAACAAGTTCGCTATCAGTGACATATATATTTACAGTTTACAATAAATATAATTCTGTATTTCATATAAAGGAAACATAATTACTTTTACATGAATTTTTATCTAGAATCATAACATGGTCTAACATTTACCAAGTTAATCAAATCTATTCCTCAAATATTCACATTTCATGACGATAATACGTTCAATTCAATGAAATATGAATTTATACTAACACAATAATAACTATTATCCATAATGCTATCATAAATAATCAGTCACAATTTCAATATAAACGATCATTCATAATCAAACTATAACAATTCCCAATCTATACTTCTCCACACCGAACACCCTCAAACACGAACAACTGTAAAATCTATTCGCAACGACGCTAGTAGCAAACTTGTTGATCAGCTAATTCTATTTACCCCCTAGTTCCCTGTCAACGTACACGCGGCGATGCGTTGAAAGGTAAATAGTACCGCGCGCGGAACGTCCCCGGAAAAAACGCGAAAGACGAGCGTACAATGGGTCGCAATGGAAGCGCGCGATCAATTATCATTCGTTAAAAGCGGCGCGGCGGGGCCGATGAATGCTCGTTTGTAACAGATAGAGGGATGAGACGCGTTAATCCGTGACAACTGTCTGAATAAGCGGGCCGTGGCGCGGGACGGATCCGTGGGCAGAGAAAGCGACACAAAACGCTTCTATTCACGACGCGTCGGACAATCGTTTGAAGATGAACGCGCGCGCGGGAGGGTGGGTGGGCAAGCCGACATTTATTTTCACCCCCTTTCCACCCTGTCGCAGCTGGTTCCGCTCGCGTTACCATGGAGTTTTTGATATCGGAACGACCTACTTGAACACAGGCGCGCACGCCCGCGTGCTACATACGTTTGGCACATCCTTTGCTGGACCCGAGGCGAACCGGATAGAATTTCTCGCACTCGCAGAGACCGGTGACCGTGTCGCAGAACACGTGCAGCAGCTTCGGGTTGCACGAGACATCGCACGGCGAGCCCAGGTACTTTCCTTTCGCTGGAATACACAGGAATCGATCGGTATTGGCTGGTTTCGGTGCCGCCTCGATTTGTAAATGAAATATGTATGGTGGTCCGCAAATAGCGGACCTATCGAGCGCCGAATTAATGATCCCACCCTGCGGCAGCGAGTGACGGAGACGCTTCGAGGGCTAAGAAGCACCCTTGCATTCTCCCGATTCACCGTTCAGGGAATTGTGATTTTGTAAATTGATAGACTGAAGTTGCTTTTGTAAACTTGTGAAGGAGATGTAATAAAGAGGAATGATTTAAAATTAAAAATTGTTCTTTCACCCCTTGTATCGTAATGAAATTCTTTACTGTTATTATTAAGCTTAACGTTTCAGATTATTGGAACAGTGATATCGATAATGGTGGAGATTCAGTGTGTTTTAGATATTGAAGTAGTCGATTCTGAAACACGTTAATATTAGCAAAAATGATTCTCCACTCTGGCGCAATTGGTTGTATTACAGAAATCAATTGGAAGTCAAAATATGAAAACTATTATATTCTCCAAAGTAAACTGAATGAGGTTGAGTCTGATAGTTTTAAAGGATCAACAATACGTTCCTTTGCTCCCTTTGTCTCCCTAAGCCCTTTTGTACTATTAACAAAGGGAGAAAAAGCATTGTAGCGAGCAGTATCTATTTCCTCGATCAAAGGGTGCCAGTGCGGCGTGTTTCTTTGTAGCCAACAATCGAGCGGCCTTCCGTGCATAACCGAGATATACCGCAGAACACGTCCGCGTATCTCGCTGAAGCACGATCTCCATTGGCCCGATCATCTTGTTTGGGCAATTAACGTGGCAACTTTTCTCGCGTTAATTGCGCCGTTCGCGCGAGAAGCTACCAGGCCCGGGCAACTCGCCAGAGAGTAGTCTCGCTATCGATTTCACCTTAATTACGGTATTACATCGTTATTAAATGCTCCACGAGCCGAGCTGCGCCGCGGAGGCGGCCATTAGTTTCTTTGGCCAGTGTTCAGCGCGCGATATGCCGTTTCCTTGTTAATTCAGGCTCCACTGGGAGCTGCACTGCAAGAAAAATGAAACGAGACCCCGCGATTGGAATTAGATTTCTTTTATTAGGTCCGGCGATCGATTGATTCTTTGGTGCATCGGTTCTCGCAAAGGCTTCTTGAAATTTTCATTCGATGGGACTTCGGTCGGTTAATTGAATCCACGCGAAAACGGAATTCTTTCTCGACACCGAGGAGCACGTAATTTGTTTAACAGTTTTTGCTTGACTGAAGACTAGATAATTTGTTCAGATGTACGAAATAATGTAGATAATAGATTTTTGGCGGTACTTCGTAATTTGTTCTAGAAACTACTTGCACATCAATATTTTTAGAGTCAACGAAGAACGCTCGATCGGGGTGACCGAAGGCACTGACAAGAATTTACAGTCTATACGAAATATTCCCCTTCCATTACAGTGAGTGCTGCAGATCACAGAATCGAAGTTACTTCAATCCTCGCGATTTCTATACAACCGTCATACGTTTCTGCAACATGGTGATCCATTAAATCACTCCTTCTCCTACTTAACTGAATCTGTATACTCAAAACATCATCCACGAATCAACCCTCTACCCAATAATTACAAAGCAAAATTCGCATCTATGTACACAACTTTTATGAGCACCTCAATCTATCCTCCGCAGCTAACAACAAACTGCTTCTCGACTGTAGTCGAACCTTAATGTCCAAGGAAAACGTGCACTGCGCGTTAAATGCGAAATTCTCTTAGCTTCCCTGAGTTTCTCAATAACGAAGTACCACCGTTACAGAAAGAAATCGCGAGGCCAGGGGATAAATTGGAATTACGAGGTCTGAAGGCATCTCCCAGGAAACCGGGCCCCCCGGAGCCGAATAAAACGGATCGTCGGGAACGCGATTACGGTGGTGACCTCGTTCGGCGAGTCCACGGGGCGCGATCCGCCGGCGTTCGCCGGTTATCGAGCTCGCTCGCAAGTGGGACTCGACTGAATGGCATCGGGGCAGGGGAAAAAAGAAAACGGAGGTGAATGACGCACAGGCTCTCCCTTCGTTAACCTTTTCGCTGTGGAGCAAGCGGCCCGAGGAAGGAGAGGCCTTCCTTTGAAGCTCACGCAGCCTGCAGGCGGTGTTGCGAGCCTCCCACACGCGAACGCCGTGCGAGAGAGCTTGCAGCATCCATTAAAATCAATACCGACGGCGTGGTTGGCGCGAAAATCAAGAAGGACGAGGCTCCGGCCCGTGCTCGCGCGACCACGCACGCGCACCAGATACGTTCCGCGTACTATTTGTTTTCTTCCACCCCCGACAGACCCAGTTTTCCTGCGGATTCAGGGGATCCGTGCAACTCCGATTAGGCTGGCGAGAAATTTGTCGATCTCGACTTCGATGGAGGAAAATCGCAGCTGCGAATAGACGATGAATGACTGAACAGAGATGAAAGAGAAGACTGATTTTCTTGGAATGTTAATTGATTAATTTGTGATGTCTTGGGGTTGACTTGAATTTTATTCTATTTTGATAGAATAGAACTTTAGTTTGTTCCGATGGAATGGAATTTTATTTTATTTCGATGAAATGGGGTTTGTTTTTATTTCAATTGGAATTTAGATTTTATGAGAATTTTGGAGAATTTTGTTTCACCCTTTGATTGGGTAGGTTAGGCACATATGCTATGTAGATTAAACGTTTTTTCATGAGGATATATTCGGGAGAATTTTCGTAGGATCCGTGAGATGAGGGTCGGCTGAGTTATCGCTAAGACGTATCATGATTACGCAGTTCGTACGACGTTAAATGAATTGCTTCCATTTCGCGGGATTTTATGAGCGCTGGGATGTGACGGATAATAGGCGGATTGAGTTATTTCAGACTTAGTATGAAGTATATGGTTCACGTGTTGAGTATTAACTTATTTCGAGTTTCAGAGTTTCTGCTCGACAGTGAGAACAGGCTTTTTGAAGGAGTATATCGAGTTATTAAACGATTGATGGTAGAATCGAAGATTGATATGAGAAACTACTAAACTACTCTTTCGAAAGTGAAACTGATCTTTTAGAATTATGTTCTCTATACACATATGCATCCATTAACTGTTTAATCACAAAAGAATTAGTTTTCTAAAGATAGCTTATCATATTTCGATACTTTAAACTTTTCATCAATAATTTTCTTCGCTAAGTATAATATTGTTAATTAATAAAAGACTTTCTTCTGCTATCAAGTAATAAAAAACCTATAAATCTTCTCAATGACCATTTGTAAAACCACTCTCAAAACATCCAGCCGAGAAACGAAAATTCAAACACTGTTGGAGATCCTTCTAGACTGAAAGGAAGTTTAGAAACTTCGAATTTAAGACTCGTGAAGCCTTCTCTTCAAAGACTCTCGTTCGAGGAGAAATTAATCTATGCAGAGATGTAACCGCGATTGGTAGTGTTCGAGCAAACGTCTCGATTGAATGACGATGACAATGACAAGTGTTTACTCTCCGGCTGAAGGTTCCGGAACAGAGTGTTTGTGCGCTCGGTATCGAGCGAAGGAGAAGAGCCGAGGCGAGATAGTTCCGAGTAGAACACGCGTGATACGTTCGATCGTCCTTGTTTCCCGTGAAAATAAGATAAACGCTCTTCCTGCGAAGGGCGTGTATCGATTCGGAAGTAAACTGGTCGGACGAACTACGCAAAACCGAGAGAGCTTCGGGGTTAAAGCGAGCCGAGGGCCGCTTCCAGAACCCCGACTGTGCCCTCGATTCGATAACATCCTCGGTAGTTTATTCAACGACTCTCAAATTAGCTTTTAAAGGGTCCTTCATTTGTTGCAGGCTCCACCGACGAGTCTTTATATAATCCATTTAGCTGGGGATGACCAGAAGAAACCATTCTCGACAGTCTTCGTTTCTCCAACCCTTGCAAATATAACCAAAGTGTTAAAGTTAAAGTTCGAATATATAAATTTTCAAAGCGAAAAGAAGATTCCTAGCTAAAAATATCGTAATATTTTAAAGAACAGACATTCTGGAATGAAAATTTTGAAGTGGATAGTAGGTCATCTATACATAAATATTGAAATCTTGATTTTGTTGAAGCTGACGGTAGCTAATGCAATCTAGGAAGAAGATAATAAGAAGAAATCCCAAAGGTGAGTTCTGAAACACTGAATGTCCATTGCTCAAACAGGAAGATTCCATTGAAGAATTCCCAATCCACCTGAAAAATGGCTGCAAGAATTCCTCGTAGCCATAGCACTCAAGAAGATTCTACTACTTCAAGAAACGATCAAAAGACGACGTTGCAGTCGTTCTTACAGGTGCACCCTCGCCAGGGCGTCTCGCCCTACTTATTCCTCCGACCGAAGCTGCAGGTTCACCGCAAGCTGCCCGCCCCAAAAGCACACGAACCGTTCTCCACTGTACCCAATCAGCAAAATTCCAGCAGCCTCCTCCGTGCAAGCGTAAAACTACCAATCCTACACCTGCTGCTCGCGAAACATATCCGTAGAGACACTCCGCGGCACTCGTCCCATCTCCGTGGCCTCCAAACGTGTCAACAACCCTCCAACCTCCTCGTCCCAATTTCCAACCCCATCGAACCATCCAACGTTTCCAGTTGCGTCCTCATCTCTCATCACCATCAGCGTCCCACTGGAATCCATTTACTATCAACGGACACCGTCGACCAGCAACCCATTAGAAACACATCCTCTCCACAGCCCCATGGAAAAGGGATCGCGTCCTCGCGTCCTTTAACAAGGTCATCAGGGTTCCTCCGACTCACCCGCAGTGATGTTCTCCTCGAGGTAGTCCTCCTCTTCATCGTACGCGTCGACGTTCTCGTCGTCGTCGTCGTCGTTGTTGTTATGATTATTGTTGTTGTTGCCGTAGGTGGAGCCGCGCAGGTCATCACCTGCGTGGAGGAGTCGCGGTGTCAAGCGATCGTGGCTTGCGCCGCGGCTGCAGCTCGAGGCCAGGAACACGAGGCAGATCAGCAGGAGCCAGGAACGGCAGCAGGTCAGTCTCAGGGCGTAGGGAAGTGCGCTCATCGCCCCCGCGGCGCGAGTCAACCCCCGAAACCGACCACCGGCGGCGCATCGACATCCTTCCCCGTCGCCTGCCCTCCTCCGCCCCCCCGCCCGCCCTACAGTACGCCCTCTCGCCTTGATCGGCAACCGACCAGCGACTTT